CATGTGGGGCAGCGTGTACGCGATTGGGGTCATCGTCTGCTGGGGTGGGTGGGTGGGTGGACGGACGGACGGAAGGCGCACATTACATTGTGTTGGTTGAAGGGGTTTGGTTGCTGTATTGGATGCCGCGCATTGTGTTGTGTTGTCTGTGTGCAGGTTGCAGTATCGGGACGTCGGTTCACCTGTTGGGCCAGTGGGGCGAGACCAAGGTGTGAATGCAGCGCTAACAACACTCCATCACACCACACCACACACAACAGAGTATGCCCGCCACCATGATGCACCTCAGATCACTCACACACAGAGACAGACAGACAGACAGACCACACACACACACCTGGCCAGCCCTGCTGGCCGCCTGCCTGCTGACAACTGGGCACTCGTGTGTGTGTGTGTGTGTCAGGTCATCATGGACACGCTCAAGGGTCTGGGGCTGCACCAGGAGCTGTGACTGACGCCAACGATACGATCGTCCCACTGACTCTGTACCGTAGAACCCATCTGGTAGCATATCAGCTAAGCTGGCGGGGGGCGGGAGGGCTCTGTAGGGTAGACTGATTGGGTGCTGAGCGGTCGCTGTGCAGTGCAGTGCAATGTTGTGTGTGGGTGGGTGGACTGACTGACTGACCCTTAAGTCCGTGTTAACATGGGTTTCTTTGCAGCCAGCGGGCATCCATCCTTACCCGGCCACCGTGTGTCACACGTTCATCCCTCGCAAGGACACAAACAAGAGTGCCGCAATGCAATGCAGCCAGGCCTGCCAGGCCACACACTCAAAAGCCAGACGAGACACGGACCATCGATTCCACCAAAGGCCACACACTGATGACTGCCTGACTGGCTGACCGACCTGTCTACTTTTCTATCCTTCCACTGACGAGACAAGCTCATCCCTAGCTATATATTGTGTGAGAGCTGAGTGAGCCACTTGATTAGCTATCGACGACCTTCTCTCTAGCTGTCCTGTCGGTCTCTGTGTCTCTGTCTGCGATCGATAAGCGTACCACATAAACAAGACAGACACCCCACGCCCCGCCCCGCCCCTGTCCTGGCGCCATCCATCAATCCATCAGTTCAGTCCCATCGCTGGCTGATGGCTTATCATTCCTCATTGTCGCCCCAGTCGTTGTTGACGTCGAAGTCCCTGTCGATGGCCGTGCAGTGGGTAATGGCGAACACCAGACGGTCCCTCAGAATCCCACTGCTCGAGTACTTGGGCAGCTTCAAGGTGAAGAAACACGTGTCGCTGGTCGGCAGCCTGTCGTCGATGCTGCCTTCGGCCTGCTGGCTCGTCGGGCCGGAATCCACCTCCATAGCCTCCTCATCGCTGCAGCCAGGCCATACCATGCCAGCCACACCACACCACACCACACCACACCCCACACACGCCATCTACCAGCATCTAGCTATCCATCCCATGCATTGTCCGTCCACCCACCTGATAATGCACAGCTCGAACTGGTCGAGTGCGCCCAGCTGTGTCTTTCGCTCGGCCCCGGTGCTCTCGGACCAGCTGGCGGGCAGCCGGGAGCGGCCCGACACGAACCGCAGGAAGGCCTGACGCTCGAGGGTACTGAACGAACGAAGGATCGACCAAAACCACCTGCACACAGAGACACATGGCATGCCACACCACAGCACAGCACACCTTCCACCATTGTCTGTCTGTCTGTCTGTGTGTGTGTTTGTGCCATCCATCGTACTTGAGCAGTTGTGTCTCTCGATGGCCCCTGTGCGTCGGGCGGATCTTCGTGTTGCGCTGCACGAGACACACACACGCACCCATGCCATGCGTATCTCCCGCCCCGCCCACATGACAATTCTACGCTCTCACACCGCACCGACCTGCAGCTCGTCAATGTCAATTTGCGGCTCGCCGCACACGAGCTTCTCGAGGTCGTGAGCAGAGAGCAGCGCCTGCAGCAGGGGGGCCGGCACCATCGACTCGAGCCCGGCGGCCACCAGACGGAAGAGGCCCATGTCCTCTGATGTCTTGAAGGCCTCAGCCGCCTCCGCCCACTCGGCGGCCGTCTCGCTCGTGACGGCCTGCATCGCACCGCCGGGAAACAACTCCACCAGCTGCCCGCCGTTGTCGACGACCGTGAAGGAGAGCCCCTCCCATGGCGGCGGATTGGGAAGAAGGTTGGTCGTTGAAGTGCTGCCCTCCTGGTTGTTGTCATGGTTGCTGCTGCCCGTCTCAATGGCACTGCCCTCAGAGGCGCCTGACAGCCGACTCAGGTTTGGCGCCTCTGACATGTCGGTGTCGCCCGATAATGGCGGTGGACTGCTCGCGGCGATCTTGACGCGCTCGATGAGCTGAGCCGTGAGGTAGTCGGATTGGGCGACGTCGTGCAGTGTGGCTTTCTCGCCGCAGAGGGTCTTCCAGAGCGCCGAGCAGAGAGTGAGGTTGAGGGGGCTGCGTGTGAGCATAGCAATGCCCATCAGCTTGCCGAGGCCGAAGAGCATCACACCGAGCACATTGCGATAGCACCCGATCGCCAGCGTGTCGCCCCTCCTTCTGCCGCCCCCGGCAGACGCCCTCACCCCCTCACACACCACACTCGCCAAGTGCGCCAGGACGAAGTCACTGCTGCAGCCGTTAACGGTGTCGTCCTCCTGCTTGCTGCCGAATTGTGTGTGGAACTGCCTAAGGTGGGGAAAGGTCTCGTTGAGGCGCTTGCCGACTTGGGGATTGAGCACCCGTATCTCTCGGCTGGAGCCCACGGCGTCCCGTGCGTTGGCCGAGTCGATGAAGAGCGGGAACTGACTGGAACTCCCACCACACACGTCGTCACACACTGACCGCAGCGCAGGCAGCCACACACACAGACAGACAGGTGTGTGGGGAGGGATGGGAGGCGGTGGCTCAATTGATTACCTACCGTGGGAGATGACTTCAGAGTACGGTCCGCCTAGGTCAGAGGCCATCTCGCCCCTCAGCTGCACTTTGAAGGCGTGTGTGCGGCCGAGATGGTCCAGTGGGTGCACCGACTCGGCCAAACCGCCGCTCACCTGCGCCCACAGCGACTGAACACACAAACACCGTCACACACACAGACAGACAGACAGACAGAGATGGATGTGTGGCTTGTGGTGTGCTGATCGGTCTGGTGGGGGGATGGGGTGGTTGGGCACCTGTCTGAGTGTGTCATCGGTGGGCAGGTCCCGGCTGTCTGCGTCAGTCGTCGCACCGACATGGCCCGCTGTCCGGCACACAGTCAAGACTTTGTCGCCTGCACACAACACAACCACACACCAGAGAGAGCTACCACTTGTGTGTGTGTGGCTGGCAGGCTGGCTGACCGGTGTCGGGGCACTGGTGCAGCCAGGTCTTGTTCTTGCGTGTGTCGGTGATGGTGCCGTCGAGCCTCATCGCATGTGCCAGCACATCGCTCGCATACACACCGCACAGCAGGGGGTCCGCCGCACTCATGTGGGCGTACGGCTGCCACAGAGACTGCACTCACCAAGCCAACACACACACACACACAGAGAAGAGAGGGAGACATGTGCCGCGGGTTTGCTCTGTGCTGTGTTGTGTTGTGTGTATGTGTGTTGGTATTCTGACCTCAGCGCTGAGGAGAGCCGTCTTGGTCCGCCTGCAGGGCCCCCAGTTACAGAACACACACACACACACACAGATCCATCCCCCCATAGGAAATAGACACGTACACTCCTTCCCTCCCCCCCTCCGTCTCACCAGAACAGGAAGTGTTTGGCGCCGGCCACCATCTCGAGCAAATCGACCCAACCGCCGCCCCCACCACCGTCATAGACCTCATTGCGGTCCCCACCCCCACCAGACACCCCATTGCAGCCCCACTCGGTCCGCCCCACCCTGCTGCACCCCTCGTGGTATGGCCCGCCGCCCCTCTCGCACACCTCCAGCAGCTCACGCACGACGGCCGTGTCGGTGTGGCCCAGGGCCACGGCACACGACGCCTGCAGTAGGGGGGCGGGACTCGTGTGTGGGGTGGGGCCGTGGTCGATGGACTGCGACTGGCAGCGGGCCGTCAGGAGGGGGGCGGCGAAAGCGACAGACCGGTTGATGTCTGCAGGCAGACAGATACGAACAGACACACACAACAGACAGACAGACAGACAGACAGGATGACTTTACGACCTTTAGCTACATTGTGTGTGTGTAGGTCCCCCCACGCACGTGCGATGATCCTGATGCGTGTGTCGAGGAAGTCGGTCACCGAGCCTGCCTCGACGAGCCGTCTCCTCTTGCTGCCCGGCCCATAGCCGCCTCCCACTTGCCTCATGAGTGCGACGATGGCCGCCAGCCGGGCGCACACGTCAGTGTCTCGTGTCGCCCACCTGATGCCCTCCTCGCCTGTGCCGCGCCACCTGCCCACGAGCATCAGCTGCTCGATGGCCGCCAATACCACCATCTCGAGAGCACCTAGCGGCTGGATCTCGCCATACAGCCTGACGGCATCTGCACTCCGGTCAGGTGAGCTGACTGGTGTGTCTGTCGCCGCCGCCGCTGCTGCTGCTGGGGTGGGCCCTGGCTCTTCTCCATCATCATCTTTGGTGGCGGCCTTGCCTTTGGTCGATGACGCCCGTCGTCGCTTGTTGTGGCCCATGGCTTTGATGAGCTTGACAGCCACGTTGTGAGCGCGCCGCTTGAGGGTGTCGAGTGACCTGCTGTACGCCTCTGTGTCCTGCCACAAGACACACCTGTCCCCCGCCCCCCCGCCGGCCGACGACTCCATCGTGCCGCTCCGCGCCGAGTGGTACTCCTCGGTCTCGTCATCGTCATCCTCCTCCTCCTCGCTGCCCTCGCTCCCGTCGTCGCTGTGGTCCCCGTCTGAGTCGGACTCGCTGCTCGGGGGCTCCGATCCCCTCTCTCTGGCTCGTAACACTCTGGCCTCATCAGCACTGTCGCTGACGATTTCCACAAGCTCGCCATCGCCATCTTCATCGTCTTCGTCTTCGTCGCTGCTGTCGTCTTCGCTGCCCGACACGGACGGCACTCGTGGCTGAGGTTGGGGTGGCCGATCCAGCAGCGGGATGTCGGGCTCTTCACCGCCATGGTGGAGGGAGATGAGCATGAGAGCAGCCTGCTCAATGGCCAGCTTCTCGCTGGGCGTTTCTTCGGCATCCCACTCGCCATCCGCCGTGTCCTTGGTCGAAATGGCGGTCAGTTGCCGCTGCTCGCTCTCCATCTGTGCCTTGTAGCGGCGCATGTGGCTGTCGACCGATGCTGCCGCTGTTACCCTGTCTGCCGCACGGTGGGCCTGGTGCGCTTGTTGGGCCGTCTCGTCAGCCAGGGTCAGCAGTCGGCGGATGATGGCCTGGCCGGCAGACTCGGAGAGCTGGGTGAACGAGGCGGCCCTGTGTCGGTTGGCCATCCTCTTTGCTGACGGTGGCTTCTTGCCATTGTTCTTCTTCTTGTCCGCCTTGCTCGAGTCGAGGTTCTCCGCCTGGCAGTCCTCCAGCGCCTGCACAAGCAGAGAGTCCGACCACGGCAGCTGCTGCAGCCGATAAGCCGCCAACTGGTCGGCCGTGCTGCGCTTGTCGGGGAGTGTTTCCTTCCACTCTTTGATGGCCGAGATGCTCTCCACCGCCTCACTGACGCGATATGGGGTCATGCGGATCGCGGCCAGATCGACGCCGAATCCCCACAGCTGTCGCGGCTCCCACTGCACCTGCTCGCTCCTCTGCCGCTGGATGACACGTGACGGCACTGGCGGGGGAAGGACACGCACGTCCCCCGCCTGGGGGACGGGGCACGGCAGTGTGCTCTTGTCGGCGACACGGGGAGGGGTGTGTGAGTGGGGGTCTGAGGTGGACCGGCGGGCAGGCACCACCTGCTGGCTGGACTGGGGGGTCGTGTGGGAGGGGGGGCCGGGGCTGGTGATCGACCGAGGTGGCACGCTGCATCGCATCCAGCAATGAGCAGACAAGAACAGACAGGCACGGTCGATTCGTTGCTCTCTCTTTCTCGCGCGCACGTGTGTGTGTGTGTGTCTTTGTGTGTGTGCTCACTTGGCTTGCTCATCGTGCCCAGCGGGCGCTGCGGGTGGAGGGGGCAAAAGCACCTCCGCATGTGTGATGGGCGCTGGAGGTGTCGACAGCGTCTCGAGTCGGGTCATGATGTCGATACCGTGGCCGGAGAGATCCGCCACGCCAACCTTCCTGTGTGGTATCCAGCCCTTGGCGGCATCCACCTGGTCGATCCGCACACTTGCACCCACATCGCCTGGACACACACATGCGCACCGCACACGACCATAGTCAATACACGCGCCGCGCCGCGCCCATGTCATCATTTCAGTCATCTTTCGAGCACAGGTCAACTCACTCACCGAGGGCTGCGGCGGGGATGAGGGGCACGGTCCAGGGCACTCCTCGTCGGCCGTCGGTGGCTGTGTTGCTGGCGGTGGCGGTTGTGTTGGCCAGCTTGAGTGTGGCCACGAGCCCGTCACACGTCAACAGCCGCAGCTCCGAAGCAGGCAGGTCCACTTGAAGCATAAACGTCACCTCGTGGGCCCTGCAGAGCCCACACACATGCGCATCACATCCATATAGACCCCCTCGCCCCCTCGACCTTGATTGCACTCGTCCACTCACTTACTTGTCGATCTGCCTGGCTGCTCTGGTCTCGTGTCTTTGTCTCTGTGCAGGCGGCGCCGGGGGCAGCTCGGCGAAGAGCGTGTCGAGACCCATGCCGCCGTTCTCATTCGAGTCGCCTGACCCGGCCCTCACTGCGACGGGCCGGTCATTCGTCGTCTCTGGTATGTGGAGGGGCGGGGCGTCCCCGATGCGGTCGCTCTTGGCGTCGGTCGTGAGGAGCGGGTGGCTGGCGGTGCCGATGGCGGGCTGCGGGCCGATGAGCGAGCAGACCTCCTTCATGGCCGAGTATGGGTAAAGGGGCGGGGACTTGTCGCATATGGGGTCGGTGGCGGGCCAGGTGAGCAGGGTGTGCGGGGGTGCCAGGGGCGGCGAAACCACGGCGATCACCTCGTAGCCGTCGTCATCTGCCGTGGCTGCTGACACCTGCCTCTCGTCCGCCCTCTCACCAGCAGCAGCGGAGAAGACCCCGCCCTCAGCGACACCACCACTGGGCGATGCCTCACCAGCCAGATTCACCTCACTAGGGGTCTGTCCCTCGACGGTGCCGAGGGGGGAGGGGTGGTCATTCTCTTGTTGGGTGAAGGGGCAATAGTCCAGCGACCACCCGGCCGCCGACCAGCTCACACTGACGTAGAAGCCCGCCCGCATCCGCCGATCGGTGAGGGGGGTGCCGACGTCGTCCGCCGTCATGACGCCCAGCGACACCATCGTGGAAGCATGGCCCGTCATTGAAGCCACATCGCCGCGCCCAGGTGTAGGCGGCCCCGCGCTGCGAGGCTGCAGCTCTTGATCGAAGAGCCTGCCCCAGCCCACTGTGACGCGGCGAGGGTTGGTCTCTCCCCCTCCAGCGGCACCGGTGGGGTCTGCTGTAAGGGGGCGAAGGGCCTTGTGTGCGCTGTGTTGCCTGCTGCTGTCGATGAAGGCATCTTTAAGGCGGACGGTGAAGGTGATTTTGTTGATGTCGGCTGTGAAGAAGACGTTGCTGACGGCGATGGGGTAGAAGGGTACCTGCGTGGTGCGGTGGGCCTCATGGTCGGGGTGCTGGTCGTCGCCGTCTGGGCCGCACAGAGGGGTCGGCTCGTCGATCACCGTCGAGATTTCGTGTCGTGACTGCTGGCGCAGATTGCTGAGGAATATGATGCCTTCCATGACCTTGGCCGGGTCGCTGCTCCGGATGCCGTAAAGGCGGCTACACACACACAGACGACACACACGCACGGAATTTGTCCCCTGTGGCTTGGCCATTCACTTACTATTCACTCCCTCAGTCACTCAATCACTCACCAATGCGCTTGCTCGCCCTCCTCAAGGGCAGCCAAGAACACCCCTTCCGGCAGCTGTGCGTGTCTTAGCACGCCAGATACAGCGCCCTGCGGCATGGCGAGATACACCGTCGACCAGAGTGGCTCCCGTGACGCCCGCGCGGCCGCCGTCAGCACCAACTGCAGGTCAGCGAGCCTCGCCTGCATGCTCTCCCCACCGTGGATCAGAAGACACGCATATGGGTCAGAGCCGCCGTGCAGCTCCTGCGCCTTCCGGACGGCCCTCGTGCAGGGCGCTAGGCGCCTGTCCACCACAAAGTGCGACGACACCAGTCGACACACGACGTACCGCGACCTAGGGAAGCCGCCGGCGTTGGCCGTGATCCACTGAAAGTACTTGCGCAACGCGTCGCCGGCCGTGGCCTTGAGCACCAGCATGAGGGTGTCGGCCTCGTTCTCCTTGACCCATTGCGCTGCCGTGTCGTCGTTGTCGTCATAGTCGACGGGCACGGGTGGCGGGAATGGCGGCGGTGGCCCCCAGCTGTCGTCGGCATCTTCTGTGCCGGTGTCGGGGTATGTGGGCGCCGCGGCCCCCTGGCTGATCATGTCCTCGATCAGCTTCCGCGTCTCCTCATCCATCGCTTCCAACACCTCGGCACTCACGAACCCGTCGGCAGCGGAGTGCTGCTGCTGCTGCTGCTGGGCTGTCGCGGCTGCTGCTGACGACGACGGTTGTGATGGCGGCTGGGGCGCATTCTGTTGTCCCGCCGTGCTGTGGATGAGCTGGTCGATGACGTGCTCTGGCCAGTCGACCATCTTGAGAGGGGAATTGTCTTGTGACTCGCCCAGCCTCTCCCTCCCGAACATCTGGCTGAGGGGCGCCGGCGCAGTCCGACGGGTCCAGTCGTCAGTGTCCTCAATACCGTCGCTGTGTTGGCCACTCTGATTGTCTGTCATCAGGGTCGGGCTGCCACCGACGTACGGGAGCGAGGGCAGACCCACCGGTGCGGGGCTGCCCTCACTCGCCTGCTTATTCGACGCAGACACCTCACCCTCCGCTCCATCCTCCTGCTGCTGCTGTTGCTGCTCTCCCGGCGACCGTGACTCTTGCGGCGGCGGCTCCTGCTCAGTCGCGGTCTCAAGCTCCTCTGCAGCTGGTGCCTCCTCGGCTGGTGGTGGCTGCCGCGGGTCGCCTGTGACCTCCCACATGGCTGTGCCGGTCTTGCCGAAGCCACTGGCCGCACACATGAGCAGCACCCACCTATCGTCCGTTAACTGAGTGTGCGTCTTCTTGCTGCTGCCGTTGCTGCTGTCGACGGCTTGGTCCTTGACGCGCCCTCTGGCCCAGACAGTGAGCAGCTGGTTGGGGAGGATGTGGGTGTCACGGGAGAGATCCACATCGACCACCGAGGTGCCGGGGAGCTCCCGCAGACACACAATGCACTCGGGCATGCTGGTGGGAGTGCTCTTGTCGTCGTTGTTGGTGTTGGTGTCCCTGTCCCCGCTGCAGTTGATGGGCATCGGTGCGTCTCGGTATGAGTAGCTGTCGATGGAGGCGTATGGGTGTGGCGAGTGGATCTTGCCGTACATGCGCAGCCGGCTTCTCACGTGGCAATCGAACTCACCACCTCAAATCAACACATCAAGGAAGGAACCAAGGAAGCCAACAAAGGTAGGTCTGCCTGTCCGCCCAGCCCAGCCCTGTACGTGTCTTGTGGCTCTCTCTCTAACTTACAGATGGCTTGGCAGTGCGTCGCGGCGTCGAGCTCGTGTCTTCTCGAGAAGGCAGCCCCCTCAGGCACCGGCCGGCAGTCACCAGATCCCACACACACCTGCAAATGCCACAACACAACGACGTCACACACGGGTCACATCACATCACAGCACTCTCTGTGCAGCACAGACTCCCCCCGCGCAAGGCACCTTGCGAATGCTCTTGAGGACGGCGAGTGACTGCATCATGAGCACAGCAAGGTTGTTGGAGCCAGATGCCGTGACATCCTCCCCCTTGACGCCCCTTGCCACCGTCAGCAAGAGCGACAGCTGCTCGCCGGGCACCTTGTCGCTGAGGGCGGCCATGACGCTCATGACGGCCTCGAGCAGCGGCGGGCAGTGGCGGAGGGGGCCCGTTGTCTGTGAGCCAGCACTGCTGTCTTCCTCACTGCCGCCAGCAATGCGGAAACACGACGCGAAAGAACACAGCTGCGCGAAGATGAAGCACCAGGCGGGCTCCGTGATGGTCTCATGGTCATTCTCCAGCGACAGGTACGCCTCGAACACAGTGCGGATCAGCCGCAGGATCCTGAGGGGGGACGGGTGGCCGCCATGTGCTTTGGCCCGTGCCAGCAGACCCAGGAGGGATGTCAGCAGCGTGGGCGTGAGCAGCTGGCAGCGGATTGTTGCCGGCACTGATGAGGCCGCGATGAGGGAGTCCACCAGCCACTCGATAAAGGCCAGGTTGAGCGTCGGCTCGTAGCAGAAGAAGCCATCTGCACAGCACAGAGGGAAGAGGGAAAGGTAAGGTGCCTTCACGTGTCGTGGACCGGGGTTGCTTTCACCTTTGTCAGCCCGTTTGTCGTAGAAGGGCGTTTGGTTGTAGGCCTGGAGCAGCTGCTCCTTGGTAGCAAAGTCGATGGACATCTCCCAGGCGGAAACGGCCTCTCCCGTCTTGCTGAGGGCCAGCTCCACGTTAAGGTCGTTGCCAACGATGACCAATGGCCTGTCGGCGTCAGTGGGGCCCCGCATGTTGTGCCAGCACCCCATCCCGCCGCCGCGGTACACACGACACCGATCGCCCTCCCTCGTGGTGCTGCCGGTGACCGTCACAGACAGACCCATGCCCCACACGTGATGCTCGGCCGCGGCCGGTGGCAATTCTGCTGATGGTGATGATGCCGGCTGCGGCTGCGGCTGCGGCTGCTGGTGGTCTGGTTGCTCGCTAGACCCGGCCGTCTTTGCTGGAGCCGGGTGGCTCATATCTGGACGCCTGAAAGCCCGGATAACATCCCCAACTGTGCGGATGGGTGGGGGCCTGGCCATGAGCAACTGTGCGGGAAAGATGGCCACATGGTGGGGATGGGCGCTGCCGTCCGCAGATGGACGGCCGAAGATGGTTATCGACCCAACACCAGACACCAGGGGCTGCTGCTGCGATAGGTCCTTCCCCTCCGCCCCCAGCTGCTGCTGCCGCTGCCGCTGTTCCACGCTCAGCGGCGTGTGGTTGATGCTCGAACGAAACCCCGCGTCGCTCTCATCCCCTACTGGCCTCAGGAAATCCGCGCGCACCTTGGCGTTGTTGTCGGCCCTGGGGTACCTCTCCTCAAGTGCGTCGATCTGCCGCACCGTCAGCTCCATCCCCACGAGATGCAGCTTGGACAGAGCGCGCAGCTCGGTGATGAAGGAGTGGCTTTGGGTGGCCATGGCTGTCACGAGCTGCGCGGCGCGGTGTGCGATGGACGGGCGGGACCGCACGCAGTCGTAAAGGAAGAATAGAGTGCGGGAGGGGGTGGCGAGGGCGCGTGTGGGGTCGGAGAGGTAGAGCGTCAGCAGGAGATTCTGCGCCAGGAGGGACGCCTCCGTCTGCTCACATCACATGAGGGAGGGACGACGCGCGCTAGGTGTTTGGTGAGTGTCGTGTCGTGAGGGGATTGGTATGTTCTATTCTCGGTAAGTACACTCACTCGGTAGACGTGTAGCAGTTCCTCGGTGAGTGGCTCTTGCTGCGCACGGATTTCCCTCTTGAGCTTGGCACGCTCGTCGTCCGTCACCAGCGGCACCGCCACCACCGTGTCGAGCCGAGATACGGCCTCCTTCTGCACACACAACACAACCCACACACGAACATGACATGGAATGCATTGGGTGCGCTAAGCTTATGGGTGTCTGTCTGTCTGTGTGTGTGTGTGTGTGTGTGTACTTTGAGGATGGCCTTCCTCCTGGCGTAGCACTTGTCACAGAGGTCGAAGTCACACGCTTCGCAGCGGTACCTGACAAACACACATCAGTAGATATGTGTGTGTGTGTGTGCGTGAATGATCGTCGCATTCACCACCTCCTCACCGTCCAACTTTACTGCTGCTGTCGAACTTGCCCCCACGCAGGCAGCACCCGTCAACTGCACACAACCACATCACACCACATCACACAGCAGATTGCAATCAGTGGCTGCCGTTCGTGTCGTGTCAGTCAGCTCCCATACACACATTGTGGTGAGTCGCATCGCCAGCCCCGCCTTATGTGCGTCCGCTGCAGTATGTGCCCATCTCGACACATCGGCTTGAAGCACTGTGTCACGATCGGCAGCCGGCTCTTGGCGCCCTCCTGCTGGCTCCACGCCAGCATCTGCTCGTCACGCTGACGCAGACTCCGCACCAACTCCCCATCAATGGCCAGACCCTCATCGGCATCACCACCACCAGCAGCAGCCGACGGCTGTTGCGCCACGGCCGCCTCAGCAGCGGCAGTGGCGGTCGCGACAGCAGCCTCGTCCGTCTGTGGCTGGTCGCCCGATGCGCCTTCGTCCTGGTCTTGGTCGCTGCTGTGTCCATTCTCTGATTGGCTGCGGTCGCTGTCGTCGTCATACTCGCTGCCCGACTCACTCCTGTCGCTCGTGTCGCTGTCGCCCTCGTCATTCTCGGAGTTGCTGATGTTGCCAGCGTTGAAGGGATCGTCGTCCTGGGACGCTGCCAAATCGGCGCTGCGGGGGGAAGGTCTGATGATGGCTGGCTCACTAGTGCCGGCGCACGAGCGAAGGTCTTTGTGGGCGTCGGATGTGGTGAGGGCATCTTTGTCGGTGAGGATGCGGTCGACGAGCACAGAGGCGGGCAGGTGGGTGGGCCAGCTGCCGCCTGTGCTGCTGCTGGACGGCTTGCTCTCGACGCCCAAGAGGGTCTGGTGCACCTCCTCCCACGTGAGCATCTCGGCGGTTGTTGGAATCTCGTCACGGATGTCCTGGTGAATCCCCCACCGTGACAGCAGGTCCACCAGCCACTCCCTCTTGACGCACCGCGTGTTGCCTCCCGGCGCCGTCTCGTCGACCAGAGGAGGGGGCCGTCCGTTGTCGTCATTGGCCACCTCTGCCCCATCCCCCTGTCCCCCAGCGACCTCATTGGCCGGAATGTCGGCTCCCCGGCCCTCTCCCTCTCCCCCTACGCCCCCCGCCCTCCCTGCTTCTGTCTGGCTGTTGGCCGCCTGCTCACGCTGCTCGCCTTTGTCAGACACGACGTCCAGGAACGAGTCGGACGGCTCGCCTTTGTCTCGCCCCAACTTGGCGTAGGCGTACGACACCAGGTGCATGAGCTCACACGCCAGACGCCGCTTGGCCGACGAGACCGCCTTGTCGATGTCGCCATCGCAGGGCAGATGGCACTCCCTCCCACCAGCTGCGATGCTCTCCAGCAGCGGCAGCAGGAAGGTGTAACGCCCTCCATCAGCTGGCGACACCATCTGCTGGAGAGCGTCATGGAAGCTGGCGTATCGGTTGAGGGTGGCCAGTGCGCTGCACAGCAGCTGCTGGGACAGCATGTCGTGGTGCCCGTCGATGGGCTTGCCCGTCCAGTTCTTGGAGCGGGTGATGGCGGCAGCTTTCGCGTCTTCTGTGGTCCTCGACAGGGCCCCGCTGACGTCCAGCAGCGAGCTCTGCTGCCCCCATGTGCTGTGGACGGCCTCCCAGGACCACTCAACCACGCTGATCACTGTGGCGAGGAGTTCTTGCATAGAATGAGTGCTGTACCGCGACGAGAGGGCCTCAGGGAATGATGTGTCGAGGAGGTCTGCCGGCGTGAAAGGGGTGGCGGTGGTGGAAGCTTGCAGGTTGGTGGTGGCGCCTGTGCCTGTCTCCCTCTGCAGCGCCATGATGGAGTTGAAGAGCTGGCGGTCCCTGCTGTCGATGCTTCGAAGGCCGCACACCTGCTCAGCTCACACACACATAGCCAGTCAGTCCAGAGACGTCGCTGCATCCCTGCACTGCACACAGAGCCATGTGAGGTGATGTGAGCCGCACCTGGTTCCATGCAGTTTGTGAGTCGCAGCGGAGGGGGTCGAACCACTGGGTGCCGTCCTCCTTGCTGCTCGCCGCCGCTCCCACGGTCACATCTCGCCTCTCGCTCGACGCTGGAGGGCCGTGCAGGGCGTCGGCACACTCATCAGCGGCCGGTCCCAGACAGGCCAGTATTCCCAGCATCTGTGCCTTGTCTCTGCGGGCCTGCAGCGTGTTGATCATCCAGGCACTGCGACAACGGCCCAAGAATACACACGGCTCCTCTTCAGCCAGCAGCATCGCAGCTCGGGTGAGTGTGACACCCATGCGCACATGTGAGGGGCTGGGGTGGCCAGCGCCGCCAACCTCCGTGACGGGCTGCAGGCCCACAGACACGAAGTCATTGCTGCTCAGCTTGGCCTTCCCGTTGGCCGCCGTGGCGTGCTCGCCACTCAATCGGCTCAGACGAAAGGCATTCTGGAAGTCCGGCCAGGTGACGACGGCGAGGTGAAGGTCTGTGAAGCGTTCGGGGTCGACCTTGGCCATGATGCGGCCGCCAGCGTGGATGATGAGGCTGGCCGCCTCCCTCTCCACACAGATGTTGAGCACGGGCAGCTTGGTGCCAAAGCCCTCAATGCTGCTCGATGGCGGTGGGTCGGCGAACTTGAAGCCCTGTTCTCGCATCTTGGCGATGGAAGGTGCCCTCAGCTGGTGGTTGAAGTGCATCGCCCCCTGCACGCCCTCAAACCCCGTCTGTCTTGCCTCTTCGATCTCGGTCAACGTCATGGCCACTAGTGCGAAGGACACGGGGACAGAGACCGTCAGCAGCCACGAGGAGGCCTCCAGCGGCAATGCCACGTCAGAGACTAACAGCACCGGCGATGTGGTGGCGCCAAAGGCGGCGTCGCGCGAGAAGATGCGGGTGGGGCAGGGCGGGCACAAAGGGAATCGCTCGTCGAACGCCTTCAGCACCTCATCGGCACTCCGCTGTGCAAACTGGGCGGCCAAGGTCACAATGCTCTTGGTCAGCTTGCAAGCCAGGCCTGGGCTGTTGAGCTGAAGGGCCCCCAGGATGATGTCGAGCACTTTGGGGCTCACTGCCAGCGGGGCGTCGACTTGCAGCATGGTGCAGAGCAGAGAGAGGAACGGACTGATTGGTTGCACAGCACTCTGCACCACCCTCGACGGGTCCACTTCAGCCGCCAGCTGCAGCCTCCCCGTGTGTGGTGGTGATGGCACTTCGATACCGACTGCTTCTGCGTCAGCGTCGTCCCGACCGGCCGCCCTGACCAACATGCGGAGCAGCGACTGCACCAGGGACGTATCCACAGCACCATCCCGAGCTCTCAATGCGGCGAAGGCCAGCCACAGGTTAGCTGTGGTGAGCTGCCGCTGCTGCTTGGTCTCGATGTGCGTCTGGATGGGCTGCAGACACGTGTCGTCGCTGCCGCACTCGGCTTTCTTGGCCACCATAAACACCGTCACATCTGCCGGCGCGCTCGCATGTAGCTCCTTGGCCGTCAAGGCCTTGGTCCACACAGCAGCATATCCCCTTCTCTCGTGGGGGTTGTTCTCTGGCCCGTCTGCAAGCTTGGCGTCCACCACACACACCATGCGCGACGACAACGGAGAGATGGTCGGCGGTTTTGTCCTCAGGACGAGCCACCCGCTGCCGCCGACAGACGACGCTGCATCGACCGACCCAATGAGCTCCGCGGTGTGTCCGGTGGCCCGTGGCGCCCCCCCGTGCGATCTGCTGTGTCGGTACATGCCCCAGAGCTTGACGCCTCCCCGTGAGTCCAGCAGGTGCATCTGCTTCTCGATGACACCCTTGGGCGACTGGTGCTGCTGCTGCTTGTCGTCCTTCTTGGCCGCTGCGGAAGGTGTGTCGACTTCATAAGTGACGGCCAGCATAGTGAGGCCGAAGTGCAGCTGGACGCCGCGAGGGGGGCTGTCTTGGTGTTGCCGGATGGCGGTGGTGGCCCTGGTTTCTCGTTCCAGCCGGTCGACAATGCACGAGATGGTCTCATTGCGGCAGCTGGTGAGTGTGGCAGAGTCGCCCTTGAGAGCACGCAGCAGCTCCTGCAGCACGCGGATGACCATGGAGCCCCTTTGGATGGCCGCCAGTTCACCCCTGCCCCTCTCGTTGGCTGGGGTGATGGACCTGAACGGGACGCACACGACACGCATCCAGAAACAAACGTACCACAGCGAAACAAACAGGGCAGATCAGGTTAGCACAGGGATCGCTCACTCACTCACCGCTGGACGGCCGTCGAGGAGAAGACCATGTGCACGCAGAGGGACACCGCCCGGCAGATGCTCATGTAGACGTCGGACCGCAGCTTCTTGGCGAGCAGCTGGTACGTCATCGAAGAGCTACCCGGATCGCCGAGCAGTCCTTTCAGCCGCGACAAAGCACCGGGAAGGCACCTCGCCCCCCTCTCGAACCTCACCGCAGCACCACCGCCCCCCGTGTCGCCAGCCGTTGCCTTGTCATCCAGGCACAGCAACTCCGCGGTGCTCCCCGCCAGCCTCTCCATCGAGTCGAGCAGGAGGTTCTTGATCTCGCCCCTGTCGACCGATCCACCCGCGTCGGTGACGACGGAGATGAGTGCAGCAGCGGCGCGCCATGCGACGCCGGCCTTGAGCCAGTGAAGGTGCATCTCCTGGAGAGTCGCGTGCAGGTCATCGAGCGAGAAGGTGGAAAAGGCGAAGTCTGAGAGGCTGCCGAGGGTGCGGCGCGTCGTGGTGCTGAGTGCTGACAGCGAATCAGTGGAGATGCGGATGCGCTCGAGGCGGTCCTCCATTGCTTGCTGCAGCTCCTCCTTCTCTCGAGTCCTCAGCATCATGGCCATCTTCTCATGGCGGGCTCTCGGTGTGCCGTCAGGCTGTCTCACGCTGGGCGACCGTCCCACATCGCCGGCCGGTATGGCTCCACTGGAGTTGGCGCGCTTCGGCCCCTCCTCCACACTCTTGCTGCGGCCACGGTCACGCCTACACACAAAGGAAGAAACGGAAAGCCGTGTAAAGTCACTCACCTCTTGCCAATGAATTATATTTCTCTCTGTGTGAGTAGGTAGGTACTTGTGTGGTGGCGTCATGTCGTGTGGATGCCCTCCGCCTCCAGGTGCCTTCTTGCGTGCAATCGGGAGTGACGGCCGCGGCGGCTCTGCTGCCGGCTGGCAGGGCACGACAACGCCGATGAGAAACCGGCACTTGGCCACCAGCTCGGCTGCCACCGCTCCCTTGTCCCTTCGCGTGCTCTGCGCCTGCTTCCAGCACCACTCACGAACGTCCTTGCGCGCCCGCTGCCACACAGACACGACCGCCGGCGGCACCTTGGTCGCGTCGTCGAGCGACATGGCCTGCTTGAGGCAGGCCACGTCCTGCACCAGCATGATGCCCGCCACGCACCTCTCGGCCTCCTCGCAGTGGTCGAAGGTGCCGGGCAGGACGGCTTGCGAGTCGGGCTGCGAGAGCAGATGGGCGAGGAGCTTGGCAGCGGGGGATGAGGGTGTGTTGTCGATGAGATCCATGAGGAAGGGGTGCTCTGGGTAGGGGGGGGTCTGCTGCTGCTGCTGGTGGTGGTGCTGCCGGTGCTGGTGCTGGTCTGCGGGTGATGTGTCGTCTGGTCGTGGTGTGAGGGGGGCTGCCGACTCGAGGATGGGCCAGAGCTCGTGGCTCACAGGGTCTGGAGTGCTCATGTAGAGTGGACTGTGTCTGGGCGGCGAGGGTGAGGGTACGCTCTGGTCGCCTCCTCTGTGTGGTGCCAGCTCGTGCACCTCCCGCATGACCTGTGACGCCAGAGCACAGGCCGACTTGAGCTCGTGCTGGTTCTGGTCGAGGACGGCCGACATGCCCAGCCGGTACTCTGTCCGCCTCCCCATCGCCAGCAGCGTCCTGACGATCATGTCGCGAGTGGAGGAGGGGAGAGTGGCGGGTCGGATGGTCGACTCGACGGATGAGAGGGCGATCTCCATGTAAGAGAGGGGCAGCTGGCAGCGGGGCGACACCAGGACGGTCGTGGCGTCCTTAACGTAGGTGACGGTCATCTTGATGCCCCAGTCCTCGGCGGAAGAGAAGTCGCATCCGTATGAGGCGTCGATGGAGACGACGTGTGGGAACAGGAGTCGGTGCGGGAATGACCTGCCGTAGTAGCGCTTGGTGCACATCATGCGGCCCTTGTACCGACGGTGGAAGCGGAACGACAGCTCTATCTCCGCTGACGTGTCGTCCGTGTTGGACCGACGGTCGAACTCGATCGTCACTCCCACACCCGGCAGACCCGATGGCGCCGTCAGGATGCGCTCATTCCACGGTGCCGACGCCCGGATGGGATGCGGCGTCTCGACAGTCACCACCACACGCTGCTTCCGAAAGCCCTGCTGGAACTTCTCGACGTAACACACCTCATCCCCGCTGTTGTTCTTGTCTTGGCACGCCCTCATGGCCAGCCGCACTGTCGTCGGCAGCGTCGACAGCAGCAGCCGATCAACCACAGGAGACGCCTGACGACTCTTGAGCAGCAAATACGCCTCGGTCATGAAAGTCAGACAGACGTCGTCGAGCGGCACCGCCGTCGCCTCGGCTGCCCCAAGGCACCTGCCGATGGTCGACAGGTAGTCCGCCAAGCTCTCACCGCTCGCCGCCACCCCCTTGGCCAGATTCCGGCCCGCCACGGCAATCACTCGGCGGACGATGCGGCAGGCCAGTGTGTGGATGCGGCGGCCTGGGGTAGTGGAGCAGAGGTGCACCAGCTCCTCACAGAGCACCCGAACGTCGTCTCGCCCAGTGAAGAAGAGGAAGCCGACCAGGAACGAGACGTCCGCCAGCCGCTCCAGTATCTGCAGACCTCTCGACACCACGCCCCTCGTCGCGTAAGAGGGTGTTTCCTTCTGCGACACGGCCGACCGGAGCAGGCGGACCTGGCTGATGAGCTCCATGAGCTGCCCGTTGCTTGTGTCAGGGCACGACAGCATCCACGCCATCATGGCGTCGCGGTGGGCCTCCGTCAGCACCAGATCATACCCCTCCTGCACCGTCCCCTGCTGCTGCTGCTGCTGCTGGGCGGAGAGGACGGCGGCGCACTTGTCGACCGCCGACCGAACGGCCGTGTCTGCCTGCCACTCGTAGCTGGCCTTCTTGGTCGCCGCACGGACACACGCCGTCCACAGCCGCAGCACACACAGCAGTGCCACATCGGCCTCCTTGCTCTCACCGCTGCCGTCTTGTGCTCGCTCCGCCACTGTGAGCAGCAGCTGGGACAGCTGAGGCAGGACGGCGCTCGATGACCTGAGGGGCCACGTGTCGACGGCGGAAGGGATGGAGCGGCTCGTGATGCGGTGCAGACACGACAGGATCTGAGAGACCACACACATTGTCATGTCAGACGACGACAGGAAAGGACGATTCTATCGACAAGACTCACTTACCGTGAGGGCAGCTGCCCGTCCGCTGAAGTACCTGGATCGCTCGGGGGCAGACCAGCTGGGCATGAGCATCCCGGCCGCCTCGTCCCCGAGCAGTTGCAGCAGTGCCGCAATCTCGCTATCAGCCAGCGCCTGTACACACACACACATGCACACCACAGCACACGCAGAGAGAGAGGGCGATAGATAGATAGAGCTAGTGAATCTATCGCTGTGTTGGTGAGCTCAGCTGACCGGTACGGCTGGAAGTGTGGCGGACTGAGTCTCTTTCTCAATCACCACTGCGAAACGATAGCGGCTGTGGACGCACCGGGGCAAAGAAAAGGACACCACCTGAGAGGGGGAAACAGGTGACAGACACAGCACAGCAGGTCCGGGGGGATGAAAACACATCTATCTGGTTTGTTGTGCTCGCTGTGCTGTTTGCCTGACTGACCTCTTCCCCGTCGAGAAAGACCACACACGTCTTGGCTGCAACGTTGAGCAAAAGCGTGAAGACCCACTGGTGACAAAACGACGACCCCCCACCATGCCCAGCAGCTCCCTCGATGGTGCACGGCAGCTCGCCACCAGGCAGGTGCCCCAGGTCCCCCACCTGCTGCTCTCTGCTGGCCGCCTGCTGCGCCTGTGCAGCTGCCGCGGCCTCCTCTTGCGGATGCACAAACACACTCAGGTCATCACTGCCACTGCTGCGGCCAGCCTTCGCCCATCCCTCCCACTTGCGGCCGCGGCGGTCGACGGCAAAACGGTTGAGAGAGTTGAACAGCGTCGCTGGAGCGTCCTTCGTGGTGGTGGTCTCCTTCTCGTCCTCCTGCTGCTGTTGTGAGACCTCGTGTATCAGACCAATCTCGAAGTTGGCCAGGTCTGGCTGAAGCAGGAAGTCCTGCTTGCTGGCCGTCTGCTGCATGATCACCTGGAAGACGTGTACGCCGCTGGCGAAGGCCCTGTCCGTCGTGACAAGCGACGGCCCGCTGATGGCCGCCGACGGCTCTGTGGCCTCTTTCTTGTCCGCGGTAGGGGCCGGCTCGGGAGGAGTGATGTTCATGTTGGCGATGTCCCGCTCCCTGGCCGCCAAAATGGTCCTCTTCTCGGCCCGCAGCTCCCCTATGCTCTCCATCACACGAGGGCCGTCGGACGGCGCATCCCCTGCCGCCGACAGCATGATGGCCTGCACGTCTTCTGAGAGGCCGGGGGCGTGGAGCCACTGGGCGTCGGGCAGCTCGTAGAAGCACTTGCGCTGACCGACGGGGACGTCGGTGGAGAGGAAGGTGTCGAGGTCGATCGATGACGAGGGGTGCGATGGGTCTCCAGCCTTTTGTGATGCCGGCGGGGTGAGCCGGGCGGTGCGGCCGTCTCGTGAGAAGGCCGGCTGCCACCGGTGGTCGACAAACATCGCCAGGAGCTCCTGCGCGAACCGACAGACACACACACATCCGTGTGTTGTGTCCATGTTATAGGCCGTCTGTTCTCAGTTACCACTTCCTTCATGGCATCGTATTCCGTGTCCTGTGCTGGAATACCCTCAGCGTTTTCGCTCTCTTGGCTTTCCCCCTCACCCAGGCACAGAGATGCAACGTGCAGCAACATCCTCACCTGCACACACAGACACAGGCACACACAGGTGCAGCCACAGACGCAGACAGACACCTGCCTGGCCTGGCATGATCTTCCTTCCCTGGTGCGTGTGCGTACCGAGGCCACGCGCAGCGCAAAGCAGATGGCCGCCTGCACCCCATAGGCAAACAGCCGCCGCCTCTCCACCTCACACTCGCCCTCACCCTCACCATCTCCGGCCGTCCCCTTCTGACAGACGCTCGCCAGGCAGCTCTCGAGCACCCTCTCCACCACACCGACGGCCGCATCGCTGTTCGGCACCTCCAGCGGCGCATATCGGCTGAAGGCGTCCAATGCACCCGCAAATACGGAGTAGGCGGCCTGCCGGCTCAGTGGCGACGACAGCCGATCCCTCAGCCACGACGACAGGACAGCTGACGCCGCCGGCGATGATGGACCACCGGCAGGTGCGGGCACAAGCACCCTCTGCACGCTCTGCAGCAGGTCTGTCACCACTCGCTGCTCATCGGTGGCCCCCGCCGCAGACGGTTTGGCGGCTGTTGCCCTCGTGATGGAAGATCCCCACATGCGCTGCCTCTTCCTGGCGCCGCCATCAGGTCGCCGCAGCATGCGGCTGCTGAGGGTCTTGGATGCCTCGCGGAAGAGCCGCTCGCCCACGGCCTCCTGCGTCCTCAGTATGGTCGGGAGCGCCCCGTACCACACAGGCAAGGCCGGCTGACCACCTGACGCATCGCCAGCTGCAGGGGGGTTGGTCGAGATGAATGAGTGCGGCTTGCCGGGCTTGCTCTTGTCGACTCTTGGTTCGGCCGGCAGGAGGGCTGTCAGGTGCTGGTCCTCCTGGGTGACGAGGGCACTCTCTTGATCGAGGCAGCTGTCGAGGGCGGCCGCATCGCTGGCGGGGGATGAATGGATAAGGCGAGAAACGTACTTGTCGTAGAGAAGGGTGAGCGGCTTGTTGGGCTCCATCTCATCTGTGACGCTCACAGATGGCAAGATGTCATGCCGTCGGCTGCATGATTCAAGGAAGGGCCAAACCAAGCCACAACTGACGAGATTTCTCGCTCCTTCCTGCTGGTCCTCACAACCAAGTACACACCTCGAGAAACAGACGTCCTGTTTGTCGAAAAGCGCTCGGATCGCCGCGTGCGAGCTTAGAGGGAAGGAAAAACAGCACCTTGAGGTCGTTCTTGATGTGGGGCTGCCGGGCTCTCCCTCGCCGTCTTGGCGTGACATCCGCTTGCGCGTCCTCAGCGACCACCGCTCCGACCTCAGCCCCCGGGGCGTTGTCGAGGGCACTGCCGCAGATGCCTTACGCTGTGCGGTTCCCCTTTGACAAGATCGTGGCCAACACCATGCGGCCAGGCGACATCTTCAAACTGGACGGTGGGGTGGGTGACAGACAGAGAGGACGGTCTGCCCAGATGAGCATTCCATTCATCACGCGTGTTGTCTTGTGCGTGCCTCTGTGTGTGTGTGTGTGCAGACAAGTATTACGAGATCCGCAGCTATGAGCACCGGAACAAGGGCAGAGGGACGGCGTCGGCAAAGGCGCGCAGACACTCACACCGACGGACAAACAGATGACCCACCAAGATGCTCTCTCTCTCTCTCTCTGTGTGTGTGTGTGTGTGTGTGTGTGCAGTTCCAGGTGATCGAGCTGATGACACAGAAGCAGATCCCAGACATGAGCTTTGTCGTCGACAAGAAACTCGACAGTGAGCAGCGAGCGGTGCACACACGAGCCAGCCACCTTTAGTGCCATCTGCCATCTGCCACGTGTGTCTGTGTGGTGTGTGTGTGTGTGGGGGGGGTGTCCTCCCTCCCTCCCCCCTGTGTGTGCTGCCTGCCCTGCTTGCGTCAGGGCCCGTTATAGAGAAGTTGAATTGCACGGTCATGTACGTGGACGCCGACGGCAAACACCTGGTCGTGGCTGACGAAAACTATGATGAGGTCCACATACCAATTCAGCTGTGCGCCGGGGCAGAGAAGTACTGCGAAGGTCAGTGAGTGAGTGGCAGACAACTGGCTCTATCTCCTGGTGTGGTTCTCCACTTGTGTGTGTGTGTGTGTTGGTTGTATGCAGCGGGTACGCCAGTAGGTGTGCTCAAGTGTGAGGATGATTTTGTGAAGCTGCAGTTCCCTTCACAAGTGCTCTCGGCCGTCAGGAAAGGCGGCAAGTGAGTCACCCGCCCACTCACCACTCACTCAGGCAGGATCTGTCTCTGCTGATTCGTTCGATCAGCCGACGTGAGTGAGACTGTGAGAGTGCCAATGGCATATATATATGATGCATGTCCTCGTGTCCACTCCACATGAATGACCTATCCTATACCGCCCACACTAGCTAGCAAATCCATCCATCCATTCATCGCCATCGATCAGTCCATCCACTGTGAGTGACCGCCTGCCCTCCATGCAATGCATCGCACGCACCCC